GTTATGATTGACAAGCTCATAAGAGCTTCCTCAAACTGAAGTTTGACCTTGGAAGAGACAATGAGCATCTAGCATTCGGTGATGCGATACTACTATGGTCAAGTAGTGACAGAAACTTGACTCTGGATAGGCAACTTCACACATTGAATGTGGATGAATCCAGCTACTTTTGTCATTAAGTAGGTAATTACTGGGTATTTATTATTATAATTGGCTCGTTTCTTGATTACTCCTACCTCGGGGCCTTCGGTCATGCCAAGCACGAACATACCACATCCTCCCCATTAGAGGAATTGCCTTTTCCATACTTTGGACTATCCCTTCTCGTTTCTTTGTTCTACTACAACCACAGCGCCCTCAGGCCCCCAAAAGATTTTCATTTTGACAATCGATTTGACTAACATGAGTTGGAGTTGAAAAGGGGAAGCAAGATCGATATACCTAGTGGGCATATATTTTCCTTCCCTCCCCTTTCTTCAACCCCCGCTGCTCGACCCCTTTCGGCGACGCCGTCACCTTTAGCCCCGCGTGTGCATTGCACTAAAGTACCGAAATCAAATCAACTAGCTAAACCACCAAACGCTCGCTGAAATTCCGTATATTTTGCGACCATCATTGCCATTACTACCCCTTCGCATGTCGTAAACCGCCATCGCTGTCGCGTCAACCCACGCAAAGGAAGCTCGCAAAAGTTCGAATAGCCCAATGAGCCAGAATGGCACGGCGGCAGCCAAACCCTCCGCGGGTCAAAGTACAGCTGCTCGTGTTGGGATGAAGAAGATATCGAGGCTCTTTGCCTTTACACGACTTGGGCGCGGTCGCCCAGAGAGCGCCAATGGACACCACCAGACCGAAGACTCCGCGTCTACACGAGAGAGCTCCCCCGATGTTCACCAACTTACATCACGACGTCGCCGCGGCGCAGCGCCAGAGCATAGAAAACCTGCAAGAAATGGCCTTAGTCGTCTTATAGCCGATGAAGAGAACCAGCCCTGTGCCATTTGCGCGACAATTGATTTTCCGTCACTGCTCAATTGGCGCCCAGGACAGCCGCGGCCTTGGATCCCCCTGGCTCACACCCTCGCCGAGCTATCAGCTTGCCCGTATTGCATTTTCTTTCAAGCCTTAGTAGGCGCTGAGCCGGACATAACACGCAAGTTCACACCCTATCTGCGCATTCGCCAGGCATTTGAGCGCCTCGGAGTCGGAGAGAAACATGAACTTGGAGGCGCGGTTCTATTCGAGGTCACTACAAAGAGCAAGGTGCTGCCGTGGGGTTATATTGTGCGCATCGTGGATGGGGATGACGATATGGCTGGGTACAGCGAGACTACACCTGTGATCCGGGGCCGTGTGATACCTCCCAAGCTTGACATTGCGTTACCTCGGACCTGGCTGGACTTTTGCCGGTCCAACCATTCTCATACGAAATGCGCTTCGTCTGGACCACCGATCCGAGGTCTCAAGCTTGTGGACTGCCAGGACAACCAGGTGGTGTTTGTGGACGACCTCAACGTGGAGGCACTCGAGTATGTCACACTGAGCTACGTGCGAGGCAGCCCGACCGACGAAGAATGGGATCATAATGGCCTGCCCGAGGTGCTACCTCCGCTGCTTACTGATGCCATAGCTGTGACCAAGTCTCTCGGTTTCCGATATCTCTGGATTGACCGTTTTTGCTTCCCTCAATATAACGCGCACGAACGCCGACGACAATTGGAAAAAATGGGAGAGATTTATGCTCGCTCTGCATTAACCATCATTGTCGCAGCTGGCCAAGGCGTGCAAGACGGTATCCCGGGTATCAGTATGGCGCGTGAAGAGCAGCTATCACTGCAGACCGAGGCTGGATGTTTCACCACATCACTGACGAGACCTGATGTTGAAGTGGCCAACTCTAAGTGGGCATCCCGTGGCTGGACGTACCAGGAAGGGCTCCTATCACGTCGTCGTCTGGTCTTTACTCCGTCGCAAATCTACTTTCAGTGCCAAACATTCCACTGTCACGAATCCATCTCTTTCCCTCTACAGACAAAACCCGCCCTCAACCTCGGTCGCGTGTTCCCTGACAACGGTGCTGGCGGCCGTACAGGCGATTATAGGAACATCGTCAGCGGCTACGTCAGTCGTGAATTCTCATTCCCAGAAGACCGTCTGGACGCTTTCAGGGGTATACTGGACAAGTATGCCCAGATGGATAATGCTCTGGAAACCGTTCTTGGGCTCCCTCTCTTCCATGAAAAGGACTTCAAAAACATGCCTAGTCCCACACGAACTGATCGGCTAGCTGTCGGTCTCGGTTGGCTGTACGACCCCCCAGGCAATGCCGATATATCGACACACCCTTTGCAGCTTCAGGGCCCTTTCCCCTCATGGAGTTGGCTTGGTTGGAAGCTCCGTCCTGAGTATACTGGACATGGACCAAATCTGAGCTTTTACCAAGTTGGCGAGGAAGCCCCTGTTGTCGACAACATTTCGGCAGTTCCCAATATGACTATTTCTATCGGCTTCAAAGATGATAAGATTCTCTGCTGGGAAACAGAGGGGGATGAAATTGCCGCTCGCTCAACACCTATCACCTTTCTCCGCCTCACTACGTATTGCTTCGAAATCCGTCTTACAGTGCCTTCTCCTGCCACATCCTCCGCTTCTGCGTCCTCAAGCGCACCAGCAGTCACACTCACGTCGCCCGACCTCCTCGACGCCTTTCATTCTCCCATCGCAGCTTTACTCCTCCGTGCAGCACAATCGTCCCCCGAGCCCCCTTCAGAACTCCCGCCCGGCGAGCATGAGCTCATTGGCGCTTTCATTTCCGGCCGCGATTGGAAGGTCGACGAGTCCTACGATTCTGCCAGCGTTCTTATCTGTGGCCGGCGCAACTGGAACGCTGAGGACGTTCTGGTTCGTCTTGGCATACTTGAGCTTGGTGCTGGTGGCTTGCTCGGTGTGGACGAGGATACAGCTGTTGTCAAGGGGGCGATGAACAACGAGAGGAGGCTAGACGTGCAGCTGAGGGAGCTCGATATCTATTGATAATCGCCTTCATGTATGCATGCACCTGCATGTTATAAGTCCCATTGTCATGACATGCTTAATTTTTATACATCATCATTTGGGTTTCCTGTTCGGCCATAAAGGATGATATAGATAACCATATATGTAATAAGTGTCTGGATAGATCCGGAAGTGTACAAAAGATGGACGAGAATTGCATGGATGGCCAAACGGTTGGTACGGTGTTCGTCGGATGTCTTGTTTAGATACCATCTCATATGTATACGGAATACCATAGTGTAGAATATTACGATTAATATCTGGAAAGTCTATCACACGAGAACGAGGCACAGGGCAACTGGCTTAAACTAATGTATGAAAAAAGTTGTATACATAAGTTCTTGGGCAAAGTGAGCAGAGTTGTTCATTTCTCTATAGCTACCGTAATATCTTTCTTTTCAGCAATTGCCGTCCGTATGTGTATCTGCGAGCACGGTGCAGATTTAATGAGGCATCTCAAAAACGAGCGATCAAGTAGCTCCAACAGGCCCGCTGCGAATCAACTTCTCGTTATGTACCATATCACTCAACGTTAGAATTCTGTGAATCCTTCGAACCCTTTCTCTCTGAGCTTTTCTTTCCGATGTTCATCGACTTGCCTTGCTCGGCCTTGATGTCTTCGTGGATTTCCTTTCGATCATGAGGATGGTCCTATGTCTTGTGAGGTGAGTTGTGCACGATGAAATGGTTATTGAGCTTACCCCTTACTTTGTTTTGCTGGAGCATTTAGTACACCGATCCTTGAGGGGTTCAGTGGGCTTGTGGGTGTGCTTAGAGACCAGATTCTGGTTATACTCTGCAATCTCCCTCTCGAGGTCTCTTTCAGCCGGAGAAGCCTGGTGTTTATTGTTTACACAAGTAGTTAGGCGTCCATACAGCTGAGCAAAGTGAATTAAAGCCAGTGTCGAGCAGCGATTCACCCAGAGGTAGCCCGTACTTTATAGCCCGCCCTGGAGCCTGGGGGCATAAGTTTATTACAAGTCGACCTTACCTTGGTGAAGTAGAATTTTTTTTTTTCGGTATAGACATCTTCTTGTTCTACTCCTTGTCTTTTCATATATCTTTTACTGTCTTATTCCCTTAGAAGAAACTCCCTTGATCGAGGGTGTGCTAACGGTTATGTCTAGTATTTCTTTTACTCGTCTTTGGTTTGTTATACACCTTCCCTTATATGACTGTGTATCTTGCGTCGTGTAATAGTTTCAGGACCACTCATTCCATCGCAATCTTTCGCAGCGTCGCCTACAACTGTGTCATACATCTCTATTATCTCCTGAACCTAAACATCGACTTCGTACAACTGTATGGAGCGAAACTATGATATTGTGGTGAGTTGGTGACAGCTTTAGGCATTTGTATCCTCTAGATCGAATAGTCTCACACTTTGCGGTCACGATTCGCTGGCCATGGGACTTTATTATGCCAGATGTTGTCCCTCTCACCAACCCTGCAAAGATATACCTGTCCTGCACGTTGTACAACATATACTTCTGACCTTCTTCTCCCATTGGGATCTATTCTCGGGACATGGCGAGGATATAGAAAACAGGAATTCGAATGAGTCGGCCGTTTTCCTGTTCGTTGGCTTCCTCCATAACTCACAGGATAAGGCATAGGACGGATAGCCTTCAGATGACGAGAACGACAGTGTGATGTTCAAAGATGAATGTACTAGAGAGAATAGATAAAATACTTGGAGCCTGAGAACGGTCATATGCAACTCGTCTCCAAGGCCCCTCCAAATGCCAATGCAGATGCATCGAGGACTGCCTGTGCACCGTGAACAACAAAACGCGAGCGAACGATGTATCTAGATAGCCCTCACTTGCATTGTGAAGGAGAACGCATTAGTGTATAATGTGTGTTCCTGGACCCCACCTTTTACTTTGCGACCTTGAGAGTTTTTGGTAAGGCATCCCACCTGCTGATCAGAACCAGAAACTAATTACACCAACCAAACTGGACTGGATGGGCTGCAATTACTTGAAAGTTGGTGCATCGCTGTTGATCTTGGCACCGTCGACATCACCTGTGTTTCAGAATCCCACGTTTATGGATGGCCCAGTCACAGCCTGAGGCAAATCTGATCAATTCGTTGAACATGAGGCACAGCCTCTTCAAGACCCAACGACTGACACCCCACACTCATCACTATCTTCATGGAACGTCTTTTCACCTCACCTTACGGTATATAACAACACTGACTCACCAATGTTGCCAAGTTCAGCCGATAAGCCACTGAAGAATCAAATGAGTGAACCGGGGGCAGAGAAGCTGTAACGTTCGAGGCTTATTCAAACTCCTTCCATTTTTTCTATCATTCGCTCCACGGCATCTCTCATCAATTTGATATCATGGACCCCTCATCACCGCCGCCGCCAGCCTACTCAGAAAGGCCTCCAATACCTCCCCGAAAGCCAGTCAACTCCTCAACTTCAGCGATTTACCAGACACCACCTTCTGCTGCGTCTTCATCGACATCAACTCCTGGACCATACATGCATACTCTTTCTTCTGGACCATGGCTTGGCCCAGATCCACGATCTTCGTCCACACAGTCTCTGCTACCCGACACTTCTCGAGATAGCCAGGCCGCAACCCCTGCTGATTACCTAGGTCGGCGCAAACTTCTGATCATCTACATTCATGGATTCCTAGGCAACGACCAGTCTTTTCGATCGTTTCCTGCCCATGTTCATGCTCTTCTGGCCAATCTCCTCGCCGAGTCTCATGTCATTCACTCAAAGATTTATCCGCGGTACAAGACCTATCGCTCAGTAGGCGTCGCACGAGATAACTTCAGCGAGTGGCTTCGTCCCCATGAGTCCCCAAACACTGATGTAGTTCTTGTTGGGCATTCGATGGGAGGTATCCTGGCTGCCGACGTTGTACTTATGGTACGTCAACTCAATTCGTTGTACACATGGATATTGCTAAACTCAACGACAGCCCAACCCAAGTCCATATGGTTTATACCCTTTCAAGCACCGAATTATAGGACATGTATCTCTGGATTGTCCATTCATTGGCCTTCATCCTGGTATCGTTGTGTCTGGTATAACTAGCTTATTTAAACCCGCACCAACACCACCACAAGATAGCAACCAGAAAGGCACCAGTGGCACAACTCCCAATAGCCCTGAGGCGTCAATCCCTGGTGACCCCAGTGTCTCCTCACTATATCTCACCAACTCTCAAAGCACTGATCCTGGATCATCCACAAGCCTTCCGTCAATTGCATCCTCGTCTCAGCCGCAACGTGATCCCTTCGCTAACCAGCCCTACTTCAACCAACCTTTCTTCAACGACTCGGGCTTGCAAGAACGCCCTTTTGTGCAACGGATGTTTCACTTCGCCAACAAGTATCGTTCCGAGGGGTTGATACAGGCTGCCGCCAAACACATATTCTCATACCTTGAGTTTGGCAGCTGCCTTGCTGACCCGACAGGACTTGAGTCCCGGTATCGCAAGATACGTGCCCTGGAAGATATTGATGATCTCCAAACAGGAGAGATGAACCAGGGCTCAGATAGACCTTTGACAAGAGTTCGCTTCGTCAACTACTACACTCTGTGCACCGGGCGCCCAAAATCACCTAAAGCAAGCCCCGATGTTAGTAGCCCCCAGCTTAGTACAGCCAACACAACTTGTCCCGAAACGAGATATGCCCAGTCGAACAGTTCAGCATCTTCGTCCTCCGTGGAATTGGACTTTCTACCAAACAAGATAAGCATCGACGAACGGATCCAGCCCCATACCCGACAGGAGAGTCCTTTGCCTATCATCACCTTGGAGCATCGTGATACCATGGGGAATTCTAGGGATCACCAAACTTTACTAGATTCAGATGCAAAAGCTCGGGCGTCGGATACCACAATAAAAGACAATCCAGTCGATGATTACGAAGCTTTAGCTTCTGATATTAATCGGTTGTCCATGCAGAGCATTGATCCCACGCCAATTGACGAGGAATCTCTTGCTCATCCTCTGCCTGATACTGCTACTCTTACCTTCCAGGACGAAGCGCCTATTGACGCCAAGGGAACAAATAATTCATTACCAGGAAAAGAAGAGGCAGATCTGCCTCCTCTCCCTGATCCCCCAACAACCCCGGATATACCCGACCCCAGTTTGTACACGGAAAAAGATGAGCGCAAGCAAGTTGAACGTGAGGCCAAGCGCATTAGACGTGCCCACGAGAATGCCCTGAAAGACCATGCCAAGGCAGTACGAGAGCGTGAGAAACTCATCGAAAAGCGCCAGAAGCGTTCACAAAAGGAGGCAGAAAAGGCCCTGAAAGAAGCTGCTCGACAGGAAAAGGAAGCTCTCAAGGAATCGCAACGGAAAGAGAAGGAATCGCAAAAAGAAGAGCAAAGTCTTATCAAGGAAGCTTCTGAGCACGAAAACGAGGCTCAGAAGATGCAAGAACATGAAGATACCCAGCGGACCAAAAATCTTGAAAACCAATACGAACTTGAAGCCGAAGCCGAAGCCGAAGCCATCACGAAGGCTCGTGGCCTTAAGTCATCAAAACCTCGGAAACTCCGAAAATTCTGCAATCTGCCTACCAAGGGTGGCAGAATAGATGATCCAACGTGGGTCGACATCTACATGGCAGACGTGGACGAAGTCGGTGCACACTGTGGTCTTTTCTTCGCGGGGCAACATTATGAGAAGCTCGTTGGTGATGTTGGCAACAGAATCATGGGGTGGGTGCAAGATGACATGACCAAAAGGACAATTCAAGACATGGAGAAGGGAACATTTAAGTGACCGAGTGTTGAATGCATGCTGTAAGTATGATCAGGATAATACAGATACCCATATGTGCGAGTGGCAGAAAGCGATACCCGAGCATTGGGGAGGAGCCAGAATAAGATCAAGAACTTTCAGGAAGCCAAGCATACTTGAGCAAAAGCTTCCGAAGTTAAATCTGAAGCAGCCCAAGTATTTTTTTCTTTCATTTATATCATAACAAAGGTCTACCACCCAACTAGAGGATTGTTGATCATACCGCAAGACCGCCAACAAAGGTGACTAGATACTAACCTATATACATGTATGCACAACCCTCCTTATGAAGGTAGGGAACAAGAAAGCTACGAACTCGACTCAAGGTATCAATATCAACTAATCCAAAGGCCTACCTAAACTTACTTCAATCTTTTTCGTCCATGGAATAGCGGTCCTAAGTTTTCTTGCCTTCCCTAGCCCTTCAAAACATGCAGTATTTAAATTCTGTACAATCTAAGCTGTTTGTCACGAAAGACAGGAGGGTATACACATTTGACCATATCACGAATCCAGTTGGGCTCGTTGCTACTAATTGGTCCCTAAAGGGCGAGCCAGTTCAAAGTAAGCTTAACCTTATACCTTTATTACGACCGTTTTCTCAGCTTTGTGTATGCTAGATAATTAGTGTGGTTCAGGTCAACAAAGCCATTGGCATAGTTTTAAAAGACACCGTTCCCGCCGATAGTGGATTCAGTTCCAAGCATACAAATGGACTCCTCCATAAGCTGGGCCCAGATCATTCACCACGTTCCTCGATCCTAGCCTCAAGACATCTCATAGAGGAAAATGCGGAATGTGGGAGCGAGAGCGCATGGTCGTCATCTGCACCTGCGACAACCAAGCACCGACTAACACGAGATTTGGTTAGCAAATGGCTTCGAAAGTCCGTGACGAGAAGCTTGTGCTTGAGTTATAGCATTAAGTATCGCGATTTTGTCGTAGTCTGAGAGACGATCATCAACCAAAAGTTAACCTAGACCTGCGGCAATATCTGTGTTACTCCTGCTAGAGCCATAGTGCCCACCACATCGCATCAAGGGACGTTGAGGCGACTTGAAAGAGAGTAAGACAGGCATGCTCAAAGAACAAGAGATCCACTGTCGCAGGCGGGCCAAGGCTCAGGTCATCACGGACCAGGGACCCATATCTATACGGGCCAGGCCTTTGGTTTACGTGGTGGAAGGGTATTTTTGGAATATTCTTAGGTCTCAGGAATTGAACGTCACTGGGGGGGCAGAAATGTTTCTACTGATAGTATGCTAAAAAAGAAAAAGAATGAAGGAAGGAGGAGAAACACTGAGAGAATTTTTTCTTTTTTAAAAATGCAGAACTTACTGAGGCTCAATATAACATCGAGGATAATAAACATTTCTATTCCTAGGGCCTGAAACTGGATGTCGATCTTTTTCATCCTTCACATCAGATTGGTTGATTAACTTGCAGCTCGGAATATTTGATGATCACTTAGCCTCCTACGGATACAAATACTAAGTTACCTTGCTGGCAGATGTTGAAGATGATGATTAATCTCCTATTCAGACCCCCTTTTCGCAACCTCCGGCTTATAATAAGATCACAAAATACATCGGTTATGAGGCCATGGCAGTCCATCAATAAATGCCAAGCTTTGAATCGAATATCAGCTGTTAGCCCCGATTCGTCAGGTCCGCCGTGACACATGCGTGCTCAGCGACCCTGGTTTAATTTCCCCGATTGCGTTGCTTCTTCCGTTGTTTGAATGAGAACCATACTTCGGGGCCCGGGCCACACCCACCCATGCTGGGCCACCGTTTTCTCCTACCAAAACCCACCACTTTGGTCCTAGCAACATCTAGAGAATAGCTTAAGATAATAGTATAGTACGTAAGACTATTCAGCCGGGAACATGGATTCAATCATGCGTCTCAGTGGGTTTGACTGTTGAATGAGTAGGCGTTGAACGACTCCTGTTTCTACGGGTTAAGGGGGGTCGTCGTTGTTGTTATTATTATTATTATTATTATCAGCAACTCATCGGCTCCCTCGAGCTCGCAGTCACAAAAGCGAAGAGAATAGAAGCTTAAGATTCTGGCAAGGGGGGCAAGAAGACTTAGGACTTCTATCCTAAGTGATAAAAATATTTAAGTAGATTTAGGTAAACTTAGTATAGACTTAGGAAGCCTTTAGACCAGTTATTTTTATCACTTGGGAAAAGTCTTTGGTTTTTTCTTGCTCCCTGAGGGTTGGGGTCCAGTACACACTGCACATCAGACCCTGGTTTCCAAGCGCAGTTGTGGCTCCTGTGGGCTGAATGTTTCTTGTTAGCTGATTGCTTTGCTTCCTGTTAGGGGCTATTGTTGAGCGTGACTTTGACGAGTATATCAGATCTGGCCCAACGTTATGCCGCACCATGGTTCAAGTTCTGTACAACGTGGCCGCTGTAGTTGAACAGTCCATCCGTGAGATGTTGTTGGTTGAGCACCAATTCTGGATTACGCCAACCAGAGCACGACTCAACCGTGGCATGCCCCCTGCGGCTCTAAATACCTCCGAATCATGTTTCTTGTCGTATTTCGTGGGCATTGGCTAATAAAGTGATGGCCCTACTGATCCCACCCATGTCGTTATGTCGTACGGCTGCTCCACGTTGATTGGCCTGCCTCTTTGAAGCGAGATTATCTCCATCTCGGGCCTCTTGTCCATGACCGTTAGCTCATTCATAACCGCGCATCGTCCAGTTTGACCTAGGCATGATCACCGAATATTGACAGGGGAGAGGCACGCAATTCGCGAGGAACAGAGAGGGAAACGGGAAAGACTGAGAGAAGAATAGGAATAGCTCCAGGTACCAGTACCACAGACCAAGTAGGGACCCCCATGGATCCATGCACCACACACACGCACGACCTTGAGGAACGCTCTGAGAAGGTCACCATCAACAGTACCTTGAGGAAAGGTCGTGTTTGGCTTGTGTTCTCGGCCTGTTCCTGTTTCCTTGTCACGCATCACATCAATTTTAGTATAGGCGCCTCCCGTCGTGTCTCGTCTTGTCTTGTCTTGACCTTGTCTCTCTTCTTTCCCGTCCCTCTCTTTTTTTGCTCTGCTTGGGCTTCTCTCTTTGCTCTTGCTAGCCTTTGTCACCGACCGTAATACTCTCTTTTTTTGCTCTGTTGTCTTCACTAGTCACTCTCTTTGTTCTTTTTTCTTGAACGACATCGCTCTTTTTGTACCATCCCTTCTGAGACGAATCTGGACGACCAAAAATTACGACGTTGACGACGACGACTCAACTAGCGCTCCTGTTTGTGTTTGTCGCCATACAATTGTCGATAATAGTAATTGAAAACTGAGATTGAAAAGGAAGGATAACCAACACCGAAGGAATCAGGAGGATCATTATTGTCGTTTGTGCATACCTACGCAAACAAGAAAAAAACTGGAACAAAGCAAGCGCAGATCATCACAGCCAGCACTCACCACGCAATACAGCATCACCAATCACGATAGCCCTGCCGCTCGTTACTTTCCGGGCTTATATTCATCAGATCAGCGTCGCCGGACGGGTCTCACGACCAAGGCATCAGCCATTTATTTGTTGCCGTATATCGACTTTGTGTCGTACCGACCTGGAAAGAAGCCTCAAATCAAGGAGTCAAAGGACCGAACAGCGACGGAGCAAGATTGCATAGGGGCGAAAATATCTCCTAGGATTCAACTTGGACCCGTCCTTTGTCCCTACACGAAGTCATACCCACATCAGTCCAATTCTTTGTCTGTTTGTCTGTTTGTGAGTGTTGATTAGTGCTTGCGCGTCATCGTTGGATCTGTTGCTATTCCCCTTCGAGTCGAGTGCTTCAACGATCATGTGCTTTGTCGACGGCAGCTGATACCATTTGCACTCTTTCCGATTCTAGAAGCGGCGCAAGGGAAACCGGCCTCTCTAGGGAAACTGACACTTATGCAAAGAAAAAAGCAGAAACATCTTTCTCGAAGCACACACTAGCGAATACGATCACCTAATCGTGTTCCGCATTGGGGTCAGATTCGTCTGTCCTTGTCCCCCTTCAGCTCAAGGAGCCACTTAAGTCAAAGTCGTGTTGTTATTTTAGGTATCCGCCTCTGAAACAGGCTGGTGCACGTTCCCTGCGTTAGTTGGCTAGGCTGGACTGCAACGTCCACCTTTACGCAGCACTACAGGGCCACATCCACTAAAATTATAGCGAAGCGAAAGTTGGCATTGGCACCTCACCTGGATTGCAAGTACTGTAGTGTACTTACTTCAGGTTCATCGCCACGTTCTCAACGGGCCACGCCCGCGGCCGCGACGCATCCATATCCAATCCAATGACTTACTCATCCAGCGGGCCTTCACTCGCTCAGGCCCTGGATATGGGTAAGGAAAGCAACAATGGGAATATGGATACGGATGTCGATCCTTTGCATTCAAACTTGGATCCTTCACAGTCACATTCCCTTCCTACTTCGGATCTGTCCGTCCTGAGTGAATCTGACCCTGGTTCTATTCAACAATCTCGCTCTGCTTCGCACCTTCGCCTCCTACGTTCCAGCGAAAGTGAAAAGGACATATCTCCTAACCATATTCACCACGCTCATCTCCAATTACATCAGCTCGAAACCGTTGATGACAGAGCCGTTGACGAACCAGCCGAACAGAGCCATCTGCAGCTCCACAAGACCGGCCACCACTCTCATCACTCCCACCATCATCTGCATCGAAGCAAGTCGCCTGCCAACCTCCATCTTCGTGCTGCCCAGCCCAAGCACGTACACGCCATCGCCGATGCCAATGCCCTAAAACCTCGCGCTGAACAAGATCTCGTTACTCAAGTTGTTCAGACTGTGTCGGTTGTTCAGGTCGTCGATTCAGTCGGATCGCCAATCGAAGTCCAAACCCACTACGCACCACCTGCTACCGTCGTCGTGGATTCTGCCTCGGGTATCACCGTCGCCGCCATTTCTGACCCGGAACCCAAGATCTCCGTGGCGGCCGTGGCGTCGGATCCGGCTGCGAGCTACAATGTTCCGTCACCTCCCTCCGCTCCCGCCGCGACCGCCGTGGAAACACCTGGTTTGACCGACCCATCACCGTCTGCGCCTGTCCCAGATGCGACCGTATCCGATTCAGTACCCGAGCCTGTTAATGACACGACGTTGCTACCCACTGCCGATTTACCATCTAACACGGTTCCTCCAACAAATGAGACTAATGGACCTGTGACGTCGACAGATCCTGACACTGCGAGTCACGAAACAACGTCACCAACTGCTCCCACTACTGTCGTTGACACAACAGCCTCGGACGTTAGTGGGTCGGAGACCGCCCTCGTAACCACCGGTACGAATATTCGCCCCTCCTATTTATAGTTTGAGTTTATGACCACGCCATGTGCTGACTGACATCGCTTGCTTCAGATGACCTGACCGCGACAACAACCGACACCCCTACTTTAATAGAGACTACATCCGACTTGACCTCGGAAGCGACGCAAGATGTTTCGTCAGAAGTGACGTCTGATGAAACTTTAATAGCTACTACCGACGTGACGCAATCAGAGTCCAAGCCTTCCACAACCACGATACCGCCAACGACGAACACAGCTTCACGGACCCGCAGTTCCTCCACTGTCCTGGTGGTGTCTTCGACCTTCGTCACCTCTTCTATCAACCCTAGCGACACTTCGACGTACAGCTACTCTGACTCGGTATACTCGAGCATTTCGGCTCAGGAAACTTGGTCTTCTGGCTCGTGGGGAGACGAAGATAATGAAGGAGGAAGCGGTGCCGCAACAGCTGATAACCAACCACCAGCGGCGACGACCACTTCGAACTCCAACAACACCGATACTGGCACACTCTCGCCTCAGCAGAAGCAAGTGATAGGTGGTGTCGTGGGAAGCATTGCGGGCGTGGCGTTTTTGGCGTTCTTCGTCCTGTTTGCTCTCAGGTACAAGAAGAAGCATCCTGGAGGTGGCATACTCGGTGGGAGTCAGTCTGGAACGCGGTCAATTGGTGGTCCAACGTCTGGGCCTGACGGTGGAAGTGGCGCATCAATGGCTGAACGTGCTGGGGCATCTGCTGCCATCACTGCAGCGTTTGCGGGACTGATGGGCAAAAAGCAACGACAAACCTCCGAACTGGAGCCTGTCAGTGAGAGAGGGTTCTACCGAGTTTCAGGAAAGAAGCTTCCTTCTGTTCTTCAGGTTGGTGGTGACGGTTATTCTGATCCGCGGACCGAACCTCCCTCGACTGACCGGGCGAATCGAGAAAGTGTCATGAGTGGTAACTCTGACTACTGGAGAGGCTCTATGGCATTTGATCCGAGTGACCGGGATTCACCTCACCTTGCTCTTGGGTCACCAATGCGGCCAATAAGTGGCGTGCCTGTAATTCGGTCCGGCCCAGCTCGAACGCCTGTTACAGAGTCGAATCCTTTTACTGACCCGTCACGACCAAGACCGGATTCTGATGCCCTGGGAGGCTCAACGGGTGGTGGCTCCATTGCATCTCGTGATGGGTCGTTTGGCTCACCATCACGGTTCCAGGAGAGAATCTGATTATATCACTATCCGCATTCGCGTATTGCTTTGATTATCCCTGATACCTGAGCGTTTCGTACCTGCTGCTGCATCATGAGCGATCTCACCACATATTGTTAGCCTCCACTGCTGCTACATTAACCAGCTGCAACCGCGAATTCGCGGTCATCACATACTTTTTTCATTACAAACTTGGTCGCCGCCACTTGATACAAGTGGCGCACGAAGCATCTTGTTCGGCGTTTAACGGTGGTCGTCGTACCACTGCGGATCTCTTTGGACGTACAAAACCTGCAGATATGGGTATTAGAGGTGGAGTCACATGTATAAAGAGGAGGACGTTTTTGCCCACAAAACGGAGGAAGCTGGGCTGATTCACTTGGAAAATATATACTATGCGACGCTTGATGGTCCATTCTCTTCTTGACTCTCATTAACGACGTTTTTGTAACTATCTTGTTTTTCTTGTTTTACTTCGTTTCCGACATTACGACCTCTACTGGGAAGGGGATATATCCCTGGATGGATTTGCAAGCTGTAGACAAAGGATTAGAGAGCGTTGAGAGGAAGAACTGGTCTATATAATAAGCTTGCTAGCCATGATTTGAATAAGATATAAAGGCCTGGAAGGCTTTATTTGAGAGACAATTGCCGTCCTTCGTGCCTTGCTCAAATTACATCTAATGATGTAATCTATAAAATCCCCGTTTCTTGAATATATGGAATTAGTTAAGGTTTAATAAACTGCTACGCTAGGTATTTCATACGTATTGTTAGTCACGTTTGGCTCATATTCTCTGTTCAGTAATCCAAGCTATTATAAAGTGACATCAGATCCAATTTAGATGCATATGGCTTCTTCAGACTTCCGTTACTCTCTTATAGGCTCCGAGCTCTTCCTTACACCTGGCAGTCTCATTAGACTTTCGGTGCGCATCGGCTGTTGCATATCAAACACTACCCGCGGCGAATCCGAAACAACAAAGGGTTGAAGACCCTGAAAGGCGAGGCGAGTGCTTACGGATGACGGATTTTGAAGAAACATTGAAGTGCCTTCTTGTAGGCAAAGTATCTTAAGGAACCCAAGTGATGGCCTCGAAATCCATCGTCAATTTCAGTAATGAGACTTATATTTTGACGTGGACAACGGCTTTGACTCCACAACATCTAATGTTATTAATTAATACAGCGGCTGGATGAGCCTAAAATGCCCATGCCTTTCTATCAAGAATTGGCTCCTTTCTCCAATACTGTTACGAGTCAAGAAGGAAGTGTCTCGGGATGCACAGCCCCCCTTGGGTTCGGACGAAGCGACGTATTCGGGATGGACGATCTCTTCTCCAATTGAAATTGAGTCCACTAAGTTGCCAGGCGTTTAGAGAGCCGTTGACATTGACTAGGTTGACACAAGTTGGCATGGGGGGCTAGATAAAGTAGTTTAGTTAGGTTCCAACGGTTGTCTGTGTGTTTTAGGTCTGAGACACGTCATCAGGGGATCAAGGTCGCATACAGATTCTTTGTAAGATCGGGGACCAAGAGAGACGAGAGATAACAAGGCTTTCCGGTCTTGACGCAGCGATCAATATTGAAGTCTGACAGAGAGGTATTGATCATAGACTTAGCTACCTACCTTACCTATTTAGCTCTGACGGTCACTTGACGGAAATAAACTATGAGATGAACAGCAAGTTTAACGCCAATGTTGCTACTTTGGTTGTCAATATTTAGCAAGCTCTACTAGGCTGAAGCCCATACTATTTGCGGAAGAGTGGCTTGGCTACGCAGGAACGAGTAGAAGGTATCTCTATCAACCTGGAAGACCCACGAAGTGCCAATCGAGCAATGCCCAAGTTCAGAATTGCGTTATAGTAAGATATTATCGCATGCAAGCAAAGGCTGTATACATGGAGACTTGATCCATCCAGAGAAGGATTCCGGGTCATGTACCCTGTTCTATAAACAGTGGGCTATTCTCAGCGACCCATCGCCAAGAGCAGAGACGAAATACAGTGGAGGCCTTCAGCAGTTAAAATTGACTGCCGTAGAGCCAGGGGTCCTATGACGATCATTTGCTGCAAAGGCGGAAGTTGTGTTTACAAATCTGTACATCATATCATTGCTTGCAGCAGAGAACTACCAACTTGATTGTTTATTCAGCTGATCTGCGGCTACAGTAGAGCATCTCATAGAGCCTATTCTAGGGTGATTGGCTGAAGCCAATGGCATCGCCATGAGCTATTGAAGGGAACGTGTAATGACGACTGCCGGCGGCCTCGCCTTGATGCTCGATGGTAGTTAGGGCATGTACATACCTACTAGTAAGAAGTCTCGAGACCTCATTCTCAGTGAAAGAAATACTTGGACAAACCCAGGATGATTTGTGACAAACTTAGCACACTCTTTGGTCAGTTATTTTTCAACACCCTCCCCTCCACTGATTGAGGGTCTCAGGTCTTCATGCACCAGGAGTGGCAGGTAGGTACCTACCTTCTTTTCCTCGTTCCCGGATTCGAAACAAATACCCGCGCATTGAGTCCTTGCCTTCCCTGCGACTTCTCTTGTCTCATCGGTCCAAGCTGAGGTTAGCAAGGTACCAATTGGCAACTGTAGCAGGTTCCAGTTCCAGTTGCAAATGCTAACGGATACTTGACTTGCCGGTTTATGCTTTGAATTTGTCATTGCCGGTTGACTCGGAAGAATGAAAATTTCGTCAACACCACGATCTGGCGACGTAGACTTGGACTTGAATTCAATCATTATCTTCACCCTCATCGCCGTCGTGACTTGACAGTCGACCACTACTTACTGATACAGTACTGTACACTCGCTTCGCTGCTCAGTCAGTACCCGCCAGAGGAGTTCACACCAAGACAAAACCAACCAAACTCCGCCACCCCACTCCATCTCCGCCTCAGTCTGACAGTGATAGTCATAGAGTCGGGTCTTAACCAAGCTAACGTTAGTCGACCACAGACTTGACCTGGTCTGGGAGCTTTTTAGCGCACCGGCGCCTCCAAAATCGCCCACCTCGGCTTCTTCCTTCTCGACTCCGTCTCCTTGCTCCTTGTCTGAATTATCATACCTTAATAACTATTAGTGATCCGTGGGCTCCGATCTACGATTTACCCCAACCAACAAAATATTCTTCACTCCACAGCTCCGGCTTCAGCTCCAGCTCCAGCTCCCACTCTCCGTATCGCACAGATGATCTCACCGTGACTGAGACTCTCACAGCCCAGCCTATCGCATTATAAGGGTTGCTTGTCGCATTCCAACTCTCGTGTCGCAAGGCGACGACTCATTGCCGCTGAATTGAACCACGGGACCGCCGCTTTGCGAACCTCGAAACGCGATACTCCCACTTCAACCGACTATTTTAGTCAGGAAACCCTTTCACTTCGAACAAGATGGACCATATGGGCTTTCAGGTCCCGGGCATGGCCCCGCCGATCATGAATCATCCGCCGCAGGTTTTTGGTGGTTACGATGGCATACCGCAGTTGCCCCCAGAGATTGCTGCGCAGATGTTCAATGACTCGGCTATGTTGCTTGAAGATGCAAATGACCCCAAGAGAAGGAGAATCGCTAGGGTATGGGACCTAGGATAGATCCCGGCGCAGCCGGCTTAAGAGTATTGTGTGCTGATCGGAACTCCAACAGGCCTGTGATATGTGCCGGAAGAAAAAGATCAAGTGTGACGGCAAGATGCCTTCTTGTACTCACTGTATCAACTATAAGACCGAGTGTGTCTTCACGCAAGTTGAGAAGAAGCGTGCTCCTCCTAAAGGGTATGACCTTTCACCTCATTGCGAAATCATGTGGTTGCTGACAGATTTGAAGTGCCAAGTACATCGAGGGACTTGAGAACCGGCTGAACCGTATGGAGCATCTTTTGAGACTTTCTGGTAAGTGGTTTGAAGAATTTTCTTTACTGGCACGACCTCATCATACTGACCTTCTATATACAGGCCTCCTTGACGAAGATGATGATGACCTTGGCGCGTTAGAGAAAAGGTTACTGGAACGACAAGAGAAGTCGAGACAGGTGTCAATGCCTGCGGCATCCAACCCTAACTCACCATCTCAATCGACATCCGGCCCATCGGCTGCTGCAGACGGGGGCGAGATGACCCCTCAAAGCTCACTTACCTCGCCCAAGGATGATAAACGCAAATCAGCAACACCAGCTCCGTCGACAGCTCCATCAACAGCTCCGGCACCAGCTGCGAATGTGGGAGAGATCAAACAGGAAGATCAGGAAGAAGTGGAGGCTCTTTCAGAGTTGATGTGTTCTTTAGTAACAAATAATTTTGGAGAGACCAGATACATTGGTGAGTTACTAGACTATATCTGTATGAACACCCCTTACTAACATGCCGCAGGGTCGTCATCTGGCTTCTCCATATTTTCACCAAAGGGAGTTTCGTGGGTGAATTCGAAAACAGGGGATGATTCTTTTCAACGGACCATATCGGATATATCTGTCGATGACCACAAATGGACTAATTGGAAACCTGAAGTCTTTGGCGACCTATTCCAACGACCCATTTTCCGGCCTTTGCCTCCCAAGCCTGAGGCACTTTCACTTCTCCAGGACTTCTTCGACAACTTCAATTGCATCTTCCCTCTATTTCATCGGCCGACATTCATGCACCTAGTACACCTTCAATACTCATCAGACCCTTACCAAGGCTCTGGATGGTGGGCCAGTCTCAACTGTGCGCTCGCGATTGCCCATCGTTTGCGAGTCATGAGCAATCTGGTGCCACAGGATGAGGACGAAAAGGCATGGGGTCACCTGAAGAATGCCATCGGAGTGTTTCCCGAGCTGACTATGCGCAACACCGATTTGTTGAGTGTCCAAGCCCTTCTTGGCATGGCTTTGTTCTTACAAGGAACGCCAAACCCTCAGCCCACTTTGCTGCTGGTCTCAGCAGCCATGCGCCTGGCGCACAGTATCGGTCTCCATAAGCGCGGGACGGGATTCAACCTGAACCCCATAGAGATCGAGCAACGGAAGAGAGTCTTCTGGATCGCGTATATGCTAGACAAAGATCTCTGCCTCCGAGCCGGTCGTCCACCTGCCCAGGACGATGATGACATGAACGTTGAGCTTCCGGATGCTGACCCGGAGGACAACATTGGCAATATCCCCTTGGCAGATGGCAAGGGTAAGATGAATCTCTTCCGGGCTATGTGTGAGTTTGCCACTATCGAGAGTGAAGTCTATAAGAGGCTGTACTCTGTTCAAGCTACAAAGCAATCAGATGGTGAGCTACTCCACACCATTGGCGAGCTGGATCACAAGTTGGAAGAATGGAAGGATCGCATCCCGATTGACTATCGGCCCGAGCACGACATCAATGCCTCGCACACTCCTCTGATTCTTCACGTTGTCATGTTGCATCTTACCTATTATAACTGCCTGACAACCATCCATCGCATGTCAGTTGCCCATGGACTCTGGACCAGTCGGCTGGCCAATTATGCCATTCAAGGTCTGAATGCCCGACCACTAAACCCGCGGGTGTTTTCCTCTGCAGCACTATGCACGGCTGCAGCACGAGCTTCTGTCTCGTTGCTAAAATATGTGCCCCAAGGCGATTTTGCCTGCGTTTGGTAGGTTTCGAACTCTCATCATACTAGCGATACACTAACATCACTTTCAGGATGATTCTCTATTTTCCTGTTTCTGCACTGGTGACGCTGTTTGGAAATATCTTACAGAACCCACTCGATCCCCGAGCAAAGTCAGACACCCGACTCATGAACATTGTGGTCACCTTCCTCTCCATGCTTGGACAGGAGGCTGAACAGGGCGGTGTGCATCGAATGCTCGGTATATGTGCCGAGTTTGAGCGTATAGCAAAGGCTGTAATCGACAAGGCTGAAAAGGAACAGTCTTCTCGACGCAAGCGTAAGAACCAGGATACAAATAAATCATCTGCCAACGCTACTACGGCCACGGCTCGACAGTCGAGCACTGCAGAATCAGCAACAACTACCTCAGTGTCTTCTAATTCTCAGAGAAGATCATCACAAGCCCAGTTATCGCCTCCCCAGAACGGTGCCTCAATGGGACAGTTCTCCATGGGTAGTCCAATGAACGACCCTTCTCCTTCAGCAATGTCAGCTGGCTGGCCTCAAGAGTTCCCGGTGCCTCAGTCGGGCGACTTTGACTCAATGAATTATGGCGACACAAACATGAATTCATCTCCGCAGATTCCAATGGCGGCATTCCAGCAGCCCCTTCTTCCGCAAGACCTGTTCTCTCTGCCAATGACACTAGATTGGAGCTGGGCTGAGATGACTACTGGCGCATACCCAACAGTTGAGAACGGCAACTTTGGAGAGGACTGTAACAATTGTTAAAGGATATGAGAGTAGTGGGTGGCAATGCATTTTGAGATGCATGTATATCATGTTGTGAGAGGATGTAATGGCTGGATATAATGAGATATGCGCAATGATACTACATACAAGGCTTGGAAGATGAGCGAGTATCGGTTTTTCCCCCTTTCAAGTAACTACCTAGATCTGTTTCTTTTTATTTGCGCGGGATACATACGAATATTAGCAAGCGATAAGTGTTGATGGTCAAATATCTTTCCGTACGGTCAACCTGATGAAACACGACCTCCCTGCTTGAAGTTTGGCTCGTCCTCCTCACTCCCGTCGCCCTCTAGGCTGAGGTCTTCTTCCTTGTTATCGCCCTCTGCATCGTAACTGAAGATATTTGTACGGAGTATGTGATCTGGGTTTTGCTCCTCTCGGAGAGTGGTCTTTTGGAGTTTTCTTCCTCTTCTTTTTTAGTGTTGATGATGGATGAGGCCCCAATCTGTACCAAGATGAGCGTTGATTGCTGCTATATTGGGGCCTGGGTGTAAACTTTGCTACCTCTTCCTCTTTTCCTGAATCTCGCCTTTGATGTAGCTGTTCAGCTGTTTGAGGTCTTCTTTAAATAAAGCCCCAAGGTAACGCCGTGGCTGTATCTGTTTTGTCGAAGGCATGTTGTCAGCTGGGAGGCCATCGGCGATGTTAGTGGCAATGCGAAGAAGTGATCCTTTTGCCTCTGTCTGTTTTTTTTGTAACAAAGCCAATCCCATGAACGCGAGTCTTCTTTTGCTTTTATGCCTGGCGTATCGAAGGAGATGTTGTCCCTCTGTAGTCCAGGCCTCGATCCCGATGATAGAAAATGGCTCGGCCTGAGTGCTGGCTCTCATTTCGTGATATCGGATTGGTGGCAGTTGCAGGATCTCCTTGGGTCTCCCGGCTGTCATCGACGCCAGAATCATCTTCAAGATCGCTGATTCTTTCTTACTGGGCGTGTCCGACTGACTAGAAGCAGGGCTGTCGACAAGCTCGCTGTGGTGTTTGAGGTTCACAAATGGGACTCCATTAGGGAGTAGCATAAGCTGACCAGCGATGTCACACCATGTGTTGAAAACCGGTGCTCCGGTGAGCATGAATGCATGCCCGTACTTCTATCAACGAATGGCTTGGTTGAGTTGCGTATTCTCCTTCTTTGCCGCATGTCATTCGTCGATGATCATAGTTGATATCATCTTGCCTTCTTGCTCGTAGAGGCCAGAGTGTAGAGGCAGATGCGGAAAATCGATAACGATGCTCATCGTGGCGTCGGGCAACCTCTAGTCCACGAAGGTGAGCTAGCGACCGATGGAGTTTTTACAGACTTTCTGTATTGAGATGATAAGTACCCGTGGCTACAGATAACCACATAATAAGTTGACATCATGCGAAGACATCAAGAAAGGGAAGCTTGAAGATCTGGTGATGTTGAAGGATGAGGAAATTGGGACGTGACAGTGTGGTGCGAATGGAAGGAATTTGGGAATCTAAAGACCCTAAATTTAGGATCTCTGTAGGCTTCAGAAGGAGACATGCCCAATTGTAGATAGTACAGTACTAAATATAAGGCCGCTTGGTTTCTTGCGAGTAATTGCTTGATTTTATATGTAAATTATATGAGAGAATATGCGGCTACCTGCATACTGACAGGTAGCTCTCTTTAACCTACCTTTACTTACCTAGGTAGGTAGTTATAATGAGTCACGTTCGGTCACAGTGAATCACGGTCACAATTTGTGATATATTACCTTGATCTTCAATATCCATTCAAGTTTCAAGTTTCAACCTCCAACCTCCAACCTCCAAACTACCTAGTTTCTCTACTTTACACCGCTCATGTCTCTCATATGAGTCTCTGTCCTAAGGCAAGTTGCACGTCGCTGCTCTGGATTAAAAGTTCAAGGACGTCATCAACCACTGAACTTTGAGAACTCGTGAACCCGAAAGACGAGCGTAAGAATGGTAAGGGACTCAATCTTGTTCGAAAAATAGAGTCTGAGTCGGAACAACCTGGCTATGAATACAAAGAGATGCCAGACGCTATGTACAGTTCAGAACAAGCTCACAAGGTGTCTCAGAAACTGTTTACAGAGGAGGACTTGTGAAATGACTTGGAAGACGACGCCGGAGAGGCGAAGTCTATCACTCTGGATCTAAGAAAAATTGAATCGATGTTTGATCTCGACAACTTTACCCTCTCCAACTACGAAACATCAGAATACAGATCGACGATTAATGTTGATGGACAGCAAGTCAACGTTATTGGCTACCTCACAAGTCAAGATTTCAATGAATATATGGTTGGTCCAACTTCACCCCCAGCACTATACATAACTAACAATTGTTATGATAGGATTGATTCACAGACACAAAGATAAAAGCTAAGGCCCGGTGGCCTTTGCAAACAATCCCACTTGAGAATCAATTGATAGGCAAAGAACGACTCAAGATGACTGCAAACTCTACATTCCGCCAGGGAGTCCCTTGTGATACCGTTGGTCTGGGCAAGTCTTCCACATCATTGCTCGCCGCTCTCGAGATCAAGGAAGTCAGACAGATATAAGGGTACGGTGGGTTTATCCTCATCACCGCCCCGCCTGGATATCTGCACCAGTGAACGAGTGCTACCTTGGAGGGGGGGGGGGGGTTGGTCTAATTCTAGTAGAGGCCTCTCATTTGATTATCACTGAGCCATTCTGGGCACCAGGAAGAGAGGAGCAAGTCATTGAACGTGCTCGTAGACTGCCTCAAGAACGAGAGTTTCACGTATGGCGTGTTGTATCTCACCCTTCGATGGTAGATGAGCTGGTGAACGACAGTCGCAGCTCTCAACTTGGCCAAATACATAAAGATCTATATGGGGTCCTCATTGGGAAGGATGACGAGGCTTTCGATAGAGAGTTACTGTCAACTCGAGCGGCACCTTAACAGGAAGAGGAAGTGGAAGTGGAAGTGAAAGTGGAATTGCTCGACCTCGAGGATGCCAACGACCGTATCATGAAGAGAATCAATGCTAATTGAGATAGCTTCGGATGAGGAAGAAGGCGATCCTGAGGAGGAAGGAGACTCGGATACTAAAATAAACTCATCAAAGAGCCCCCCTTGGCTTAAATTAAATTAACAAAATCTTTTCATTGTTTAGGATTCATTGCTTATGTCCGAGATCCTGAGTTTTCTTGCCTCCCCCCAGGTACTCGGGAATGATGCCCAAGAGCACGCCTCTCTCTGTCAGAACACACAGAGTATATCATCGTACGACATAAAGCCGAGCCCTTCTCAAGAGGTCCGACCGCGAAATCAAGGCTCATGCAGACACATCCTATTTCCTGACGGGTGTCAGAGCAGGGCGGCAATAGCCTCGAAATGAACCCCCGTCAGCCTCTTCGGCAGTTGTGCCTGTTGAATCATTACCCTTACCCTTGCCTCATAAACACAAGGATAGATTCAACGTCTTTATTGTACCTTCTACATGATTCTATAACTTCTTCTTATGGAAGAAGAGTCCGGGTCTTTTGTCTTAGTACCAACCAAGGCCCACACACTAATTGCTGAGATGTAAAGGTCAAAGCTCGAAACAACCATCGCCGAGTCCACCACATCTTGTCTAGCTGCACTGGCACCTAAAATATGAAACTGTCTATCTGCGCTCAGTCACTTTTTGTTTGGTTTCGTGCTTCTGTTTACGGGCCTTCTTGCGAGCCTTCGTTCGACCAATTGATTGAAACACCCGTCGATCATTAGACCTTGTCTAGTCTTCAGAATAGGTGTCTCTCAATGATAGACCACACGGGGAATTATGAGAACAGGAGGACACTGATCAAAGCTGAGCGGAAGTTTGGTTTCTCTGGCAAGGCATGCTTAAACTCTAGATGTCGAACATGCAGCCAAGAGAATCACCCGTTTCGCATCAAGCGACAGTTGGGGATAGATTTGCGAAGTGACAGAAGTCTCCTACTCGTCAAATAGTCAGTTGGTCTGCATCAAGACTCTGAGACAAGCCCCCCAATTCTTTCGGTATTTGCTTCTTTCTGCTTACCGAGGCATGTTTATTCTGAATCACCACGAGAGACAAAAGCAAATCCCAATGATGAAACTGCTTAGAATAACACAATACATAGCTGTGATATTCTTAGCTTTCGACTTCGATATAATGAGATATGACCTACACCGCCATTCATATGTCCCATCAACCAGGATAGCAGATTATAACAGACGAAACCCGAAACCTGATAAAGCTTTCTGAGGTTCGTTCGATATTACTGATAAGATGCAACGACAGAGCAGGCAGATTGACTTGAGCTTGCCTCGAAAACGAAACAGATCAACAAGCTTAACTTATAAGTTTCTAGGCTGCGTCTTCTCCGGTATTGGCAAGACACTCGATCCTCTGCCAGGGGGTTATATACGGCAGTTGCGTGAATACAGCTGACTTCTGTGGACTAGGTGCCAGACATGAGAGGGTGTTGGAAGCCAAACTTGTTGTCACTATTGGCTTATATGACATCCATCACATTGATACCTGCGACTATAGACTGCAGTCAATCTTGAGTTGTGATAGCATGATAGCACAACTAGACTCTCAAGGCAGACTCTCGAAAGGTGTTGAGATTCCATGCTTGTTACATGATGTTACGACCCGGCGGTCGAGTGTTTCATGCTTGGGCTTCAGCAAGCAAGGGTCACCCGAGCGATTCCAGCTGGCTAGGTTGTGGCCATTGGATTGCCACAAGCTTCATCTCGAAACCTGATTGTCTCCATATTAAACAGGCCACTTGGGAACTCTCCGCAATTCAGATTTGTGACCCGCCAGATCAAGGGGAGGAAGAAAGTGCCAGCAGACATAGGGGAGAGATGGTCCTCCATAGAATATCTACAGAACCGGGAACTCCAACAAGATTATGCTGGAGAAATTCAGGTTTATATCCGTATCGTAATGATCATAGTAATTTCTAATAATACTTCTATCAATGAGAAACAAGTGGGCTCTCTCCTTTTCTCCTTGCAAGTTCCACCACTGCATCTCACAGGTAGGAATTGGAATATCACCGCTCATTGATAGCATATGGAATCAAAGATGGTAGAGTTGGGCATTTGTCTTCACCATCTCGGCCGAGAGGGCATGCCGGTTTCATTTTGGCCAAAGCCTTTTGTAGATGATTATCACCCTCCTGAAAGGGCTCTCAAGACTCAGGCCAAGTGGCTTCCTGCCCAGAAACGAATGCGAGTGGTTAATCAGATTGAAGGGTGTGCACCTCCTGTCCCAGAACAAGGTTTTAGGAGCACCAAAACTCTGCTATGTTACCTTCACAAGATGTCTTGGTAACGGAATGCAATAAAAGCGTACATATACACGGGAACTACGGTTAGTGCCCGATCAGTACAGGGCTGCTAAGCAGCAGAGTTGAATCACATGTGCGTAGCCTAGAGAATACTTAGGTTAGCGGTGTTTAAAAGTTACGACATCACCGTATGGCTTGGTTATTCCCTTACAACAAAAAGAGCAACCTACTATAAAGGTACAGCTATAACTTTAATGTATTCGACATGAGTTTCGGCCGGTTGAGCAAAGGCTATGTAAATTAAGGAGAATTCGGGGGACTATCAAAACATACGGTTTCCAGAGATTCCCAAAGCAAATTCTCTGAACTTGCTAAGGTTCAATCCTCGCAAACTTGCCTACAAGAAGAATTCTAATAACAGTTTAATATCAGGGCAGGTGATTACAGGCAGGGGCCCCCAAAGTATACCTAGGATAAGGTTCTCGAAGAAAAAGAACGTTGGCATCCTGGTCAAAACGCTAGTGGAACCAACAGAAGATCCCACTCGGAATTCTCAATCATGGTAAACGACACAAAGGACGGGTGATTGGCGACTCCAAGACCGAACACGGCTATTTTTCTTTTCACAGACAGAAGGGGGCTCACCTCTTCAAAGTCTTCTACTTCAATAACGACCCATAGGCGCTTGTACGAATTGTAGATGCAGAAGAAACTCTATGGTGTTGTTGTGTGCTGGGTCAGGTTCGTTAGATTCGAGGTATGATCAATCATATCCTATGAGATCGTATACCACCTATGAGTCCCTAATAAAGGTTTTCTGTTTTCAAGAGATAGTCAGCTTCGGTACTCAAGCATCCATGTCCTGAAAGTCCCAGAGCCCATTCATCGAAGGCGGAGCAGGCACTCCTGAAATCTGGGGACAAAGAGGTGTGTCTGTAACATATTCGTTTGTGTACGGAAGCTGCAAATCAATCACCCTTTTGAGGTGGCCGTTGAAGTTTGGTTGATGGACGAATATTTCCGGAAGACGCTACCACAATGGAGCTCAGAGCTTTGCTGTGCCTCGTTGTGTCTCCATAACCATGAATATTCATGTTCTGCAGCCGCGCAGAATGATGGACGGGCTGGTGGAATGCGCGTTCTAGCTGCTTCCTGACATAGATTTGCCCGACAGTAGCCAAGTGATTAGTTTGCGAAACGACTCGGAGCTCTCCTCTTGAAGCGAAAGTATGCATGGAGCCGACTGGATACCGTGCGAACGGGATTGGCACTTTAGCAAGAGAACGATTTTGTAATGTAGAGCGAGTAACAACTTTTTCAATGTTAGTGTTGCCTATCCTGCATTCTGTGTTCGCTTATGATCAAGCTTGTACCCTGATTCGGCTACTGACAGAGCATTGTACCGTACCTATATGTGATCGCAATAGTGCTATGATCAGCAAGATTCCGTTGTATTACGAGATGCTAGCTTGTTCTCTGGTTCCCCATGCTGCGCTATGGGCAAGTCAAAACTTGTCTCAGCGACATCTCTGCTGCAGTTGGTCAATGACAGTCTTGATGATGTTGTGCAATCCCAACCTGACTCAATTTGGTCAGCTTCTCTTGCGAAGATAAGAGGCTCGTCTCAGAAGAAATGAGACAACAAGCAAAGCCTTCATGTTAGCAAGGTGACCTTTTCGTCTTACCCCGTTTGACACAGGAAGAAAAGCGGCAGTTTGAGAATCATGTGGTGTTCGGCAAATTAGAACTGTTCCTAAGCTTTGGGACCTTGGCACCAACGGTAATTACAGTACCCCATGTCAGGCAATAAATGTGGACGTCGAAGACATTCTTGAGAAATCTTGGGGCTTTAGATATGAAAGTCCCTACTTTCGTTGGAGCTAGAGACGGAAGATTGAGGCTCCTAATAAGGTCCGTGTTTCTATGCCGTGGAAAGAAGGGTCGTTTCAGTGATTGCTGGAGTCGTCATCAATGCTGTTGAGCAAGTATTGATCCCATCGGGAACAGCGTCAATCCATGGTGGATGTGTAGAAGCTCAAGCCCAGTCGAAGGATGAAACGTCTAGATCCGGGCTCACAAGGCTAATCATGATCCCTGATCCTGGACAGCACTACTACCCGTTGGCGGGCACCTGGAATCGCATGAAATAAGGTACACTAGGCGCTGAGAAAGCATGCCGTCGGGTTGTTTGATGTTCTTCAGGAGCAGATGGCTAGGAGGAGTCTACCGGTATCGGTATCTAAGAAGTACCTGTGTACCTCTACAGGGACAGCGCTACAATTCCTATCCACGTACGTATCTGGGAAAGGTAGGTACTAAGGTAATCAATCAAATTATCAATCAAGCCTACACCTAGTATCCTGCCCACTTCAGGTTTGATGAGTGCCCAAGGTACCTTACGGAGTAAAAGCAGGTGCATTTGGATTGATGTCTGTCAGAATCCAAAACATGTTGCCTGCTAAACTTAGATTGGCAGGATCGAGGCAGGAACGGCCCAATGATCGGCAATGCGTCTTTCCAGGTTTCCCTTCCTATCGCGCCACACCACCAACAAATCAATCTTCAACAAAGCACTGTCACAGTCCATCTCAAGATCAAGTGGTGCGAACAACCAACACCAGGACAACGACGCTGATATTCATCGCAGGTTCGGACCCGACTCACATGAAGCACAACATCTGCATCGCGGATCTTGCGGTCAGTAGATGTATAGGTCTTCTGTCATTTGCAGTGGCTCCGTCAACACGCCCATGTTTGCTCCAGCGCATGACGGAACGGGCAACCAACAATGAAGTCGTTCCATGTACGGATACCCGCGAGTCAATGCAACCGCTACCACTCCCACATTCCTTTAGCAGCACAGATGATCGCCTGTGACAACTAGAGGAGCGACAAAACATCCCACCAGTCTTACCCGCACAATCCACAAGTCACTCAAGGGTTCATTGTTAGCCACCAGAAATAGAATCTTCCTGAGCCCCTCGACAGGATCCCCAAGGCTCAAGAGAGGCTCCGTTACCCGCGACATCACATGGCTTTACTGTTGTCTCCCTTCGAGCACCGGAGACTTCGATGTGCCTGTAACATTTGTCATTGTAAGAGTCTGCCACAGTGCCACCCCTCTCATCAGGCTGGCCCTACACCGCACTGCATGTACGTATGTATACGTACGCAGTAATTTCTGGATTGATCCTGTCATTCTGCTTTCACCCCTGGCCAGGACTCCAAGTGCCGTCCTAACAATAACGTTTCCATGGATTGTTTGGCGGAGTTTCTGAACTTTTGTTGCTCATCGTCCCCACAATCTCGAACTTGGAACAGAAACACAAGGGGTTCAGTTCAGTCATCTGTCAGACTTGGCTGGAGAAGGTCGAAACAAGCCCAGCCACAAACTACATATGACAGCCTCTAGCTGATTCTTGCCCTACTTGCGAATGCCTCCTAGGCGGCCATTTCGACCGCCTTCAACAATGTCTTAACTCTTATCTCTGATCTGGCCAGACCAGCGACGGATGCGTCGTTTTGATACCTTGTCTCGCCTCACCTCGCTTCACCATCACACGGCCCAGCCTTGCACGTGCCTTGTTACATATCTCACAGGGTAGAGGACGATCATCCTTACGATCTCCCCATTATTCATCCACTTTCTTCCTGTAACAATACGTATAAGCCTTCTTGGCCAATGGTCCCTCATCTCATCATGACCGTGTCTTTCATTCAACACACGTCCTTGCCTCCCGCCCAAATATGCTTTTCCCATGAAATACCCCTGCAATCTTGGAGGGCCAGTCAGATCCTGGAGAAGATTACACGTACATCCTACCCACAGTGCAGCATTGCACCCCTCTACACCCCTGTCAAGACTCTATTGGCTCGTTCCCGCACAAGCCGCGACAACGGTTATGCGCAACATGCACTAAAGCCGCAACGTCGACGCAGATTCAGAAAATTCAATAACAATTTCAGAGAAAACCTAGCCCGGCACTGCACCCTTGATTCATCCTTGCGGTTCTTTGTAACTTGCATCTTTGCTGACTGTATTAATTACGTCCAGGTCTCATCACGAACAACAGCATCGATGCCTCAGCACCTCAACAGATACCGTGTAGATGCTCTAATCTGGTGTCGTTCTCGACACATGTCACTATCCATCGTGTCAGGCCCAGTTCGTCGCCAATATGCCATAAGCAAGCTCATGAATCAGCTCGAAAGCTTGTTTCTGCTGTCCTAGCATACGTATGTAGTAGTAAAGAGTGGGATAAGTATCTCCGATATGGAACCCTGGCCCGTGAATATGCAGCACCAGAGAGCTCAGACATGCAACGGATCGCTCGTTCAACTCTCCGCCAGACAGCATCAGATATTAACCCCACCTCTTGTTAGTCGTTGGTGTTCACTCCTGGCGCAGGCCCATGGGTGCGTGGGCAAGCACCACACTTTTTGCTTTCTTATTCTACACCTTCCATGACAGGGGAAGTCCTCGAAATATGGTGACCTTGCTCGACCCCCCCTGGGCAAGGACATGGCAGTGACGGCTTCATTCGTCTGACTCCACCATAAGGCGTGTTTTGACTTGCCAGCTTGGATTCATATATCCATCCCCAGCCCAGCGTCAATGTGAACAACATTCTGGATATCACTCCTTCCGATCGAAGACATATCAACTCTATCTTTCTCCAGGTTGCGGTTTATGTTCTTATCCATTCTTTTCATTCCCCAGACTACAGGTCCCAGAGTCTTTCGTTTAAATCATCACCATTTCGTTTCGTCCCCAGGATACGATATCTGTTTCGTCGTCCCTACTTTAGGATCACCTCTTCTTCACATTCCTTTTCTTCTAATCCAGTGATAATCTGCTGCATGCTGACTCGCCGCTAAGCTATCACGCCCTTGTTCATCCTTCCGTTGCCATCTCGGAAGTGGTTTCAACCTTTCTGCAGCAGGCCGACCCGTCCGTGAAAGCAAGGCAGAAACATTGAGGGGGCACTGTGTTGGTGTACCTGTCTAGCTACACTCGTCGGTCTCACGACCATTCTTCTCATTTAAGTTGGGCTTATCCCCCTTCAACATACCGTCCAAATGCTTGTCACAAGGCAGTACGAAACAGAACATAGCCGTTGGCCATTCAGCAGATACGAAGCATCTCTTACTTCGACAAGCCCTCGCATGTCTAATCCTTACGATGTCAATGTCGAGCTGCCGGCCCCTACGAGCTGGCAAGCACACGATCCAACTACTTCCCACAGTGGTAGTGGACCTGCACAGCAACATCAATCACGGAACGAAGCCTCAAGACTTTCCCTAATGCGCCACCCAGCAGAAAACAGAGGCAATGCTCTGGGAATTCACATGAGGCCCGGGGCGACTCAGATGTACTCACCCCATCTCCAGACGATAGACCGAGGTGGGATGTCGTTGCCAGGGCCCAGGGACTCGGTCCTTCAAAATGATAGCTACGGGATGAAACCCAGTACCGCAAATATGGAGGACGTGATTAGTTCAGGGCTGATCAGCACCTCAAAAACAGCCATTAATAGTACGTTCGTGCCACCAAGTCGCCAAACAAACGACCTCTCGTCCACTCAATCCAGCCAAGGAGCAAGAATCGACTCGCCACAGGATGAAGAGGAGGACGACCTCGATGATGACGATATGCTTGATGGGGAGGGAGAGCATTCAGCCCAAACTCCGGCAGAAAGGGCGGCTGCTCGACGCAAGATGAAGCGATTCAGGTCAGTGTACTCGTTGCTCGTTCTAAGGCAAGAGCTTATTGGTTTAGACTCACCCACCAGCAAACACGGTTCCTTATGAGTGAGTTCGCAAAACAGCCTCATCCAGATGCGGCACACCGTGAGCGGCTCTCACGGGAGATTCCTGGCCTCAGTTCGCGCCAGGTCCAAGTTTGGTTCCAGAACAGGTAATCATCACATAAATTGTCAGCATAGTCCTCGCTAACCCGTGTGACAGACGTGCCAAAATCAAGCGGCTGAATGCTGATGATCGCGATCGTATGATAAAGATGAGAGCAGTCCCTGAGGGATTTGACAATGTCCAGGCCCTCCATTCCCCCTACGGGGCAGTCCATGGCATGAATGCTCCTATGCCCTCACCAGGACACTTCAATACACAATCGTATGCCCAGCACATGATAAGACCCTTGATCGTCGACGGACGAAGGCATGATACAAGCGAACATGCTTCTCCGACCGCAATGACCCCAGGATTTGGTGGGATGGGGTACAGCCCCGCCGGTAGTTTGACAAGCTCAGGTCTTGCATCGCCGCTTTCACCAGCTCCGAGTGACCGATATCCCTATGGCGGCCACTTCACAGCCCCTCTTACAGGCAGCCCGAGAACATCGCACCCATTTGCGCAACACCATGGGCTTGGAACTCCTGTTGAAATTCATCGATCGAGCCCCCAGCCCATCCCGCCTCCTCTGCTTCGCGACCCCCTCTGCAGGGCCAGATCGGAATCCTCACAGTCGCCGCTGCGACCCAATATGCCATGGAAAGGGGATGCAGTTGACTATTCCTACAGGGGGACAAACACAAGCCCGAACCTCTCAGACCGACACCCATCTATCTATCACCCTGCACCACTCAGCAACCCCTCTATTACCATGAGTGGCTACGATGCAAACTCAGTTCCCGGCTCCAGGGCTCCTCCCGAGAACCAAGTTCACAGAACAGAAATTTGATGACCATCGATGGGGAGCCCGTGGCCATTGTACTCCAATAGCCAAGCCCTAGTCTGGCAGTTCCAAGTTGCCGACGCTTCAAACAGCTTGTGGACAAATTCTGCAGGATGTTGTTACTATAGGCCTAGCCCATATGCCGTCTAGGATCCCTCATAAGGGAGTATATATTTCTCCTTCATACTCTTCGATTTGGCCTTCATTCCTTTTATTTGCAGTACCTGCTGTTATCTGTTTAATTCTTTCCTCTCTTTTTTTTCCCCCTTCTTTTTTTCTTTCTCTTTTTGGTTTGCATTGTGAAGTGCACCAGGTGCATCAGGGCGTATAATGTTTTATCTTAGAATTGATGATTTCGGTATCTGGTAACGATCATGACCCTTTCTTATGTTCAGGGAGTAAGTCAAATGGCATGATGATGAACATCTAAAGCTGGGATTTAGTGAAAAGTGGAGGGCGCAATCATTGGTGGCAATCGGCGCAATTATTGTTCTGGTTTGGCTTTTGGCAGACTGGTTTCTGTTCCCTTTTCAGGTTGGTTGAGCAAGTTGATCCTAAGTAGTTAGTTTGCTAGATCGGCGTCGGCCCAGGTGGCATAACCGTTGACAGCTTGTTCCAAAGAATAAAAACAAATTTCAAGGAATAATCATCTTATAATGATATCTGATCAATGTCCTCGTTAAGAAATGAGACATCTCTCAGAACCCTATTAGTATATGTTATTTCAGAACCTACCTTTCGGTCACAAACACTAGGAAATTCAGGCCAGTCGCACTCAAACTGCTAAGGCGAGGCAATAACGTGCTGCATAACAAAGAGATTTAGGCAAACTATTACAAGCTTAATGGGCTCTTTAACAAGTTTATTACTGGCATCCTTTGTTGAGATCTGAAGTTTTCTTGCTTGCTCCTTGAGGGCGAGGTCAATTGCTAATAATTATAGCAATGCCACGAAGCAATAACATGCTAAAAAAAAATCTCATCTTGCATTACAGAAAGAATTAATATCCCTTACCAATATGTAGTGATAATCTGAGATCTAGCGGATGCTAACAATTAGCCTTCCTTCAATTTCTGAATAGAACCCTGGATACTAATGCAAGCTCTTTAAGGTCAGGCAAGCCAGTTTTCCTAACAGCAGCCAGGCGGTTATCAATGATGGTCGACATCGAACTGAAAACAACAGACAAGGCTACTAGGTTTACCAGATGTTGGGTGTCATCACGGTACCGAGAGCATGAACCAGATCATTATCGGAACTTACATGGGAGAAGTTGAGGGTAAACAGATAGAAGAAGTGATTCACACCGCGCACGATATCACGGTCAATGGACCAATGGGTCTTTCTTGTTGTCTTTGATACAGGGCAATAAATGACCCAAAGGGTGAGGATATGTCACTTGCATCAGGTCATCATCGCATCATGGTAGCCGCACAAGGGGCCCTCGTGATGATGGTTTTAGGCAAGGTTACTGAAGTGTGCTCTCGACCACATATCCCAAGGTGTTACAGCAGGGTAGGATCGAGCAAGCTGACAGTTGTTGAGGGATGGTGGTGGTCTTGTTTGTATGAAAGAAGAGGGAAAAAATTTGGCGGTTTGAACAAGATCTTATCAACGCGACTTAGTCACGTGATATGATCATCCACCAGCTCCCCTTTCTGGGCGACGGGCCGCAGTGGAGATACGACAGCATCATTATCTTGAACAACACCAAAAGCCATTTAAAATATCTAACTGTTGGTTCCCTCAACACTACCAAGCTTCAGGGAGCAAGAGAACTTCTGGCATCCATGTAATCACGGTGCTAACAATAACCAGTCTAAAGACCTACTAAGTCATATGAAAGTTACCTAAATCTTTATCGCTTAGGATATCGGTTCATTAATTACTAATAATGCTACGGTCAGATTGTTATAAACATGGTTTCTGCTTAAGTGGATAGAGTTTCTTTCTACTGGCTGATGAACTGTCAGCGAAGAGGCTCTTGTACAGCGTGCACGAATCTTTGCTCATGGACATCTACTCAAGTTTGAGAGTTTAAAGCTCTTTAGTTGGTCATGCGATATGTTTGCACTCATTGGACCTGATTAAGATGGCCAGTTCAATTATCTCCATATAGTAAGGTTCTTCGGACTTGAGATTCTGTTTAGACATCTATATTACTGACCTAGTGCTCTATCGAGCTGCCTTGATCCAACCTCTTACCTGCTTGTTACTACCTTAATAGTGTTAGCTACAGAAAGAACAAGATGGACAAAGACCAAAGGGACCACAAACTTGTCAGGATGATGTTGCTTTGTTCGAATTGATATAGACTAACTAATAATCTGACATTGGAACTCAAAAGTGGTATGCTCAAACACAGTCCACAGGCTGAGACGTGATTCGGTGTCACCGTCTTTGTGGAGCTGAATGCGACAGTGCAGGAGTCAAGCCAATGAATGGTTGCGATCACTCGGGCAGGAAGGCTGTACGTTCTTTTGTCTTTGTTCTGGCTGCCAGGTTCAGGCCAGCCACTCAGATTAGCGGAAGATAGTACCAAGAAGTGGTCAGTGAGCCGAAAGGCCACTGAAAGGGCCCCTAGTTTAGCCAGTGAACAGCCTGGGAACAGCGGCCAGCCCGCCTGGCAGGTTCCTGTCTCCGGCCGTTTTGCTGACGGGACTGACAACCGGCAGACCCACCTCACCAAAATGCCTTGTCTTTCAGGCTCAAATCACCCTCTGCCTCTCCCTCATTCCAAACACTCCACACAGTCCACAACTCACCTCTCGCCCCCGACCCTGATTCAACCTCTGACATCCTAACCCAACATCGCCCTATTCGACGCCAAAACCCTCGCTCTGCGCCAGCGACATTCGCCCATTTCTCCTTAAAAAAAAACCCGTCGATTCCTTTCCTCGAACTCTGCAAAGACCACTGCAAAACTATTATCTGCCCGCGCCGCGCCGGCTCCGCTCACCGAGTCCCGAGGAAAACCCAGTGCAGTGCATGACGTTCGGCTGAAGAAAGAAGCGGAGCGCAGCGACTCTCGGTCGACGACCGGCGCGACTCTCGCCCACAAACCTCCCTTGCGGAGTCGTCCACGATGTCGTTCCATCCTCAGACTCCCCAGAGCCCATCGCAATTCTCCTCCGGGACCTCGGAGCCCGTGTTAAGCGTGACAACCTCAATGACCTCCACAGCCACGCCAACCACCTTGCCGACTCCCGCCCACAGCGTCACTGGAAGCGCCCATCACGACCTTGCAATGACCGACGACTCTCCCCACAAGCGGAAGCGCTCTGTGGATGACAGCGGCGACCGCGAGCAGAAGAAGGTTCACACCGAGGAAAGCAAGCTGGGCATTGAGGACTTGCATCTCGATGTGGGGAAGAAATACCTTCTTTGCCAGACGCCTCATCCAGAATCATTACCGCGCGTCTCGGAAGATCTTTATGACATGTTCAACCTCAGTGGGCTCGCCGCCGAAGTAGCCCGGGAGAAGCCAAACGGAGAAAAGAACGCATTACGTTCATCTTACACAGGCCATATGAAGAACTTGGGTATTGCTGGCAACTGGAAAGTGCGAGTAACAGACAAGGACTCTAACACCGAGAAACCTGACTTTTTCGACATCCTGCACATGCCCGATGAGGATTGGGACAACACGATTGTTAAGGGTCAAAACATCAAACACGGGCTATCACAAGCAAGTCTCTCCGCCCTCGGACGAGCAGTCACCATGGCCAAGGGACCTATAGGCAAGAAGGACTGGGACATCTCAAGATTAGGACTTCAGTCACCCGGCCTGGATTCAAAGCAAACTTCATCGGCGAGACCCACCGCTCCCAACACTCCGCTCAACGTACCTGGCGCAGTAGGACGACTAAAGGCTCAGGGGCCCTCAGCAAACGATCCCAACCGACCAAAGCGTAACGTGAAGAAGCGAACATATGGTGATAGCAGTTTCGAGGGCTATGGTGAAGGTTACCCTGACGATGACACAGCCGTGGAAGGAGGCTACTCAACGGGAGAGGGAGAGGGCGGCCAGAAGCGACGCAAGAAGAACCCGGGAAACACCTCGCCATACCCGAGTGCTATGCGCCAGCAAAGCTACGGCCCTGGCATGGTGGGCGCATGAAATATCTTGACGGTAGATGCCCAGTCATGTCTCATGTTTCACGACTTGTATACACACTATGAAACGATTCCAACAGGCTCTTGTTCCCTAGGTCTCGTACACGCCACACAAACAAAAAAAATCTCGGTGCTACTTGCTTTGACAGCCTCCTCGGCTTTTAATCTTCAATCTTGGGGTTTCATTTTTTCTGCATTCTGAGGGGACGGACACACGACATGTGCGTCTCAACGAGCATGGCGTTTGGGCAAAGGAGAGAGGCGGCATATGGGTAAGGTTGGCCGGTCACTCGGGGGTAGGGGAGGCATGTTTCCACGTTTCTTATTTCTCTCAAAAGACGACACGGCCTAGCACGAGGGGCGCGGACACTGGGCAGTGGTGACACCAATAGTCAGGGCTTGGGCAAGATACTAGAAGGTTTAGGTATAATTTTTGACCTGTTTATGCCATTTCACCTTGTACCAAATGAAGTTGTTGACTATCTCAACATCAATGGGCGGATACAACAGTAAAGTCAGGCATGCACTGCAACAGTAACGCAATAGGTATCGAATACATTATATGGTGTGCACGATGCATAACGCCAAAAGAAGAAGAAGAAAACAGAAACATAGACAAGTTGAGCATCATGGGTAATCCACAACAGAGTATGCATTTGCTGGCCCCAGGAGATGATCCTAAGAGACGAAACTTTCTTTGACGAGTTTAGGATATTTAGGATAGGCTTAGGATACTTTATGATAAGTTCGAATAAACTTCGCAAGCTGGCTACATCTAGTATAATCCAATGGAGCGGGTGGCGTCAACCAAATACGAATGTATAATGATGGAACCGATACGAGGCGAAAGGGGCGACCCAACCCCAACTTTGAGGACACTTGGTTCACGTTTCTCGAAGAAGAAAACACACAAGTCTTCTCCGCGCGTGTCAATACGGTACTCGAGAAGATTGAATTCACGTCGACATTATCATGGCAAAAAGACAATTGTCGTCTCAGAGTTCGTACTATTCCTTGACATCATCATAGAGGGTATAAGAAGACAAGCAAAGACAGAAGATGTTTTTAACTTTGCCCTGACTGAGGACAATGTTACGCTACAATGGACTTACCAACGAGAACAAAGGTCCAATTCACGTTTAACCAAGAGCAGAGAGGATTAATATTACTTCTGCTCATTGCAGGAGCTGGTGGAGGAGAAAACTTCAAAGACTTCTATCCTAAGCGATGGAAAGACTTGGGTAAATTTAGATAAATTTAGTATAGATTTACTAGACTTTAGACTAGTGATTTTTGGTACATTGAGTTAATGCCATGAGGTCTTCTTGCTTCCTGGGGCCTATCTAGGTTAATGCTGTTGGCAAGATGTTGCACACCTAGTATGTGATGTATGAATTGGCCCATAGCAACTCTCAGGATAGGGTAACTTGAACATTATTACTGTTTTTATTTTTATTTAGATAGTCTCGCGAAGAGCATCGTGAAGATTGATCAGGTATGGCTGTCACCGAAGATCTGGTAGGGCAGTGACTCAGTAGTCGTAAAAGCCCTTTCCGCTCTTCTTACCATACCACCCAGCGTTGACCATGTTCTTCAGCAACACGCTCGGCCTGTATTTGGAGTCGGCGGTCTCCTCATACAGAACCTTCATGATAGAAAGACATGTATCGAGACCAATGAAATCAGCAAGCTGAAGAGGACCCATGGGCACGTTTGTGCCGTTCTTCATGATGGCATCGATGGAATCACGGTCTCCAACGCCAGTCTCAAGACAGATAATCGCCTCGTTGATGTAAGGCATGAGGATACGATTGGCAAGGAATCCGGGAGAGTCGGCGGACACCGAAGTGATCTTTCCCATGCGCTTGCAGAACTCAATGGCAGTGTCGAGAGTGTCCTGGCTAGTCTGTAGACCGCTGATGATCTCAACGCCCTTCTGTACAGGGACGGGGTTCATGAAATGTGTCGACACAACACGAGAGGAAGCTGAGGTATCAGTGGGATCCTTGGTCGTGGCAGCGGCGATGCGTGTGATGGAGATAGAGGAAGTGTTTGTAGCGAGAATAGCATGCTTGGGGCAGATCTGAGCCAGCTTGCCAAATATGTCAAACTTGAGATTGGGCAGCTCAGGAACAGCCTCGATGACCATGTCTGCAGAGGAGAGATCTTCCATTTTGGTGCTCGTACTGAGAAGAGAACGAGCGCTGTCGGCCTGCTCCTGTGTGATCCTTGACTTGGAGACATCCTTTGCTAGGAGTTTCTCAGCAAAGGCGATGCCCTTGTCCAGAGCCTTGTCTGAAGTATCAATCAAGGTAACGGGAACCTGAGCCTTTTGAGCTGCAACGAGAGCAATCCCTAATCCCTATTGTGGTGATGTCAGTTGTCTGAACGCCAGCAATGTCTTTCACATGCTCTCACCATCTGACCCGCACCGATAACACCAAGCTTCTTGACCTCTGCGGCGGCATATTGGCGAGGTGAAGAGCTGAAGCAGCGAGCATGACGCGCAGCTGCCATAGAAGGCATTCGAAAGATTGAGGCAGCCATTTTGTGAAGAATGTGTGGGAGAGTTTTGAAACCACGATACAATAGTAAAGTGCCAGGTCTCTTTAAGTTCTTCCCCACGGGGACATTGGCAGCTACGCCGACACCAACGCCGAAATCAACGGCTCATGCCATCATATTGCGGGTAACCTCGGCTCGGAGCCGGCGGATCTTTCTTATCAATTGCCGAGAACTTTCTTTATCTTATCAATTCTTATCGAATCTCGCGTTAATTAGACACGCCAGACGAGTCGCGTCTAAGCGCGTTGTATAATGAAGTGGTGGGACTACCTATGTTTATGTTTTCTAATGTTGTCGAGGCAGCACTAACCCCACGACCTGTAAACAGAGACAGACAACTCCTGGTCTGTCGATGTTTAGTGAATTAAGATCATGGAGTTGGCAGATGGATCAACAGATATTGTGCACCCGGAAGTGCGAGCGCATATCAATAGTCTTGTCTCAGCGGTAAGTTTTCCCATGATACCGATAAATTAAACCTTCTGACAAGTGAATTCCAGCTTGGAGGTATCAGCGCCGACAGCGATGGCGGCTATCAACTCGGCGACGATGCCCTCGAGGTTCTTCGAGATCTAAAGCGATGGATACGCTTCTACGACGAAAAGACGAATCGGATGGACGTTGCGCGATGCATACACGAGGCGAACCTGGTCGAGGGTGACCTGCTCCCCATTCTCTCGACGTGGCCCGAAAACGCCACGGACAGCAAATTCAAGTCCAGGATAGCCTTGGCTTGCTTCGAACTCATGGTTCCTCTCACCTGGCCAATGGCAAGAGACAGAGAGCGAATGACGGTCAATCACCACCGCCATATGCCGGTCCTGGAGCTTGCTCAGGTTGGATATAAGCGAGCCGTTGTCAACTACGACGGAGCTCGCGTACTTCATACAGCTATACGGGTGGCTCTCCCGTCCATGGCAATACCGATTGGCGATCGAACACAACGTGATCAAGGCATCATCAAGCTGGTCTTGTTCTTCCTCCGTAACATCGCCATGATCGAGCCTCCCCCTGATGTCAAATACGAAGGCGATGAGTCTCAAATATCTCGATCCGCCACTATCGATGCATTCTCATACCAAGATATCTTCCTCGTGCTCTTAACACTTGCCTCGAACATGGGAGAAGATTTTCGAGCCGAAGATACATCTGTCATGGAGATTATATACCATTTAGTGAAACAAGTCGACATCGAAAAGCTCTTCATGAATGAGCAGCAGCTAAGTAAGGCCAAGGCTGGAGAGCTTGCCGATATGATGAGTAAGGAGTCGTCCATGTTGAAGGCATACAACCGCAAAGGCCCAACTCGCCACAACCGATTCGGTACTATGATTTGGGTGAAGCGAGACGACGGCAAGATGTCATCACTTTCGGGTCAAGATGCGCTGGCTGATGCCTCGACGAGAAATCAAAAGATGGACAACTCAAAGACCTTCCGACCTCCTCGCCGAGCACGAAAAGGGGATAAAGATGAGAAAGATCTCGGATTACCAACTAAGCTTAATTCTCGTGCTTATGACCAGTTGCGATCGTTTGTCGAGGACTTCCTTGACTCGGGCTTCAACCCCCTATTCCAACATGTCCGCAAAACCATCGATAGGGAGGCACCACATGTAATGCAGTATCATCGCCGTCAGTTTTTCTACTTGGTGGCATGGTTCCTAGAAGCCGAGCGCATGAGGCGCAAGGCAAGGAAACAGTCGAGTCAGAATCCCAGCGAGGATATCAGCAGTTTCAACCTTGTTGCAGGTGTTCTCAACCAGGAGATGTTCATCACTCTCAATAAGGCTCTCCATGAGTCACTCGAGATGAAAGATTGGCATGAACTAACCGCCGTTATGCGTTGTTTTACCCAGATTCTTCTCACAGTGCAGGAAATGTCAGAGTCAGGCAACGAGGACAACGAAGAGATCGCCGAAAACGTGCTTAGTCGTCTATTTTACGAAGAAGCAACCCACGATGCAATTGCCACCATCATTAGAACTTACAAGGACCAAAGCTTCAACTACCTTGACGCTGCCACGGAACTGGTCCACCACTTCCTCCGTATCCTGGAAGGATACTCTAAGCAGAACATCGATATGCAAGTTCGCTCGCGGAAGCGCACTCGGCGGAAGAAGAAGGCTGCCCAAGACGCTGCAGGAATCGAAAATGACAACGACGAGAATGACGGTTCAGATAATGACGCCGCATCCGCCGAGCGAACCACTAAAGAACGAAAGTTCGACTTTCATCGCTTTGCAACGCGTTTCACGCCCCAGAGCGTAGTGGATACATTTGTCGCTTTCACCAAGTATTACCGTGATCTGACAGACTCGCAACTCAAGCGAGCGCATCGATACTTCTATCGCGTGGCTTTCAAAGCAGAAGCGAGTGTCATGCTATTCCGTGTGGATATAATCCACCTCTTTTACAACATGATCAAGGGCCCTGCTGCGCTTGAAAAGTCCTCTAGAGTGTTCAAGGAGTGGGAAGAGTTGGTGAAGCAGATACTGCGAAAATGCTTCAAGAAGCTTGAACAGCGGCCAGAACTGCTTGTGGAGATGCTCTTCAGCAAGGGGTCCAGCACCGCCTTCTTTCTCGAGTACGGCTTCGAACGACAAACTGTCACTACAGCCAGCAAAGCCAAACCTGCAGCTGAGCTGGTCTTCAAAAACACTGAAGAGCTAGACCGACAGATTGCCATTGTCGTTGGAGCAATGCTGGACAAGAACCAGGCAAACCATGTCGCTTGGATCAAGAAAATCCTCGGCGACGCTGAGAGCGAACGTGAAGCTTTCATGGCAGCGGAAGAGGCAATGGCTTCAGTTGAGCCTGTACAAGACGAAGCTGAAGAGCAGCCAACAGAGTCGGGGCCAAAAGCGCCTCCTATATTCTGTGAGTTTTTTCTGAGATTTAAGTCTTTGTTTACTAATAATGCTTAGACGTGCGCCCGGATGATAAGGACCGTCGGAATGCCATGTTCAAGAACTCTCATATGCGACTCCTTATGAAACTCGTCGGCCTTCAATTATTAGACCCGGCGTCAGAAGAAACACCCGAGTCTGCATGGATCATACCTTCAGATGTGTCTGCCGACGTTCTCAAGGATGCTATCCACTACATCAACCAAGCCGAGTTCAGCCCTCCAACATTTGAGGAGGGTGTTCTGGCAGAACACCAGCTGAAACGCAGGAGTGCTCCACGCAAGAAGGCCGATTTCGATGATGATGAGGCCGGCGAGCCTGACGACCCCATGTTCGGACCGCTCGGTCCCACGGTGCGCAGACCCATTGATGAAGAAGATGGCCCCAAGAAGTCGCCCAGGAAACGCAGGCCTCGAAAAGAACTTACCGAAGAAGAAAGACAAAAGAAACGTAGAGAAAGGCGAAGAAAAGAGCAAGACAGGTTGATGAGCTTTAGATCAGAAGAGTTTGTAAGGCCCGAGGACGATGAAACGGATTCTGAGTACGACGAAGCCTTCTTCGCTCGAGAACGCGAGATAAAAGCAAAGGCAGCGGCCATTCGCCACGTTGCGGAACGCCTTCCTGTGCCTAGAAAGCCAACTAGAAAGCGTGGGATTGCAGCTACAGAATCTGCATCAAGTAGTGAGGAGCATCAGGAAGGAAGTGGAGATTCTGAATCTGGTCACGATTCTGATCCTGGCGACGATTTCATTCTTAGGGCAATGAATACAACTCTTGAGGAAGAGAACGAGGGGCAGCCGGAAGGAACATTGCCAGATGGAAGTGATGGAGAGAGTCGCAAGAGGAGACGAATCAGTGTTGAAAAGACTCAGCCTGACGAGGATGAGGAAATGGGCGGCGTGAATAAGAATGGAGATGAGGATGAGGATGAAGCACCTGTCGTCACTCGAAGGCCGCGTGTGCGGGGTGGGTTTGTTGTGGATAGTGATGATGATGAGTAGATATTAAGTAGCATAATTACTGGCGTCTGGAGCGTGCATGCTATATAACATGGTAGGAAAGGGGCAATGGACACGTCTAGATTTAATGAACGAACGTCACCACCAGGTCTCTGCCATACTATCCTGTGGAAGTCATGGCCAAGACTCGGGAGAACTGGGTACAAGATATGGTTAACGGAGACTGATTCTAGATTCTTCAGACTAACGTATACAGGACTCTATTGGAGATGGGAGACTATCTAGCAGTGGTATATCCTCCAAACATGTTATCTCGCTGGCTTATATCTTTCTATCCAAAACATAAATCATACTCTTTTCTATGGGGTTGACTTTCTTTATGGTCGTCTCTCCAAACTCCTCCTTCTTGTCGCTGTGCTCTGCCCAGATTGTATTTGACCTAGCTCTGCAAGATCCTCCTGGCTCTTTCTAGGAGCACCAGGATGCGCAAGCACACTATCGCGATGTTCTGGACGTCGGAGGGCATCGTTCTGCTGCAAAGCAGACTTCTCGTCGTCCTTGCCGCCCCATGACCCCCCAATTCCCTCCATGATGAACTCGGAAGCTGTTGGTTGGTCAAGAAGAGAGAGTTCCTCGGGGGAGAATATGTAGGGGAGTAACAGAGCACGGATTGGTATTAGGGCAAAAATGATGACAGGGAAGCCGACAGCGGCTACAGTCTGGGTGATAGCAAAAGTGGCACCGAAACCAACCAGCTCTATGAGGACAAAGTACCAGATAGCTGAGCGCCGGCGAATTTGAAGTAGGGGGCTGTTTGAAGGCGTAAGGGCACGATCGCGAGCTAGGAAAATAAGCTTGCCAGTGATACCATTCCCCTCAAGGGCCTGGACACCCATGACAAAGAATAGACCCGCGAGCACACCATGGGGGATCAAGTGAAGAACCACTAGAAGAGGCCCCGTCATAGTGCCCAAAGTAAGGAGACCTTGAGCAAAGTTGGAAAATCGTTGCTCTACAACGTGTGTGGCCTCGAAGGAATAACCACCACCTACTGGGTTGCCATCTTCATCATCTTCCTTGACAGCTTTTGTAACGCAGAGCGACTCGGTATGGAAGGGTGCTTGGGGGATGAGACCATTGGGGAATGGTAGGCCAAGGATACCTGCAACACCAGTTGTCAAACCGAGGAGGAATATATCCCAGTGGAAACCAGCAGGTTTGCGAAGTGGAAACTCGCTGCCTTGGGCGATGAGTGAAGAAACTTCGGTTGTTAGCAAGGCTGCCAGACATTCTGTATTCTGTAACATACCATTATGATCGAACCAGAAGAGAATGGTCAAGAGAACTGCAAAGGGCAGCGCTAGAAAGATGTCACCCACGCTCAAATCCCAAAAGCAAACAAGCCAATCGCGGCCACTGGTAGGCTCAAAGGCGATGCCAGTGGGTAGAACCTCAAGATCAACCTCCTGCATACGGCCGAAATGGACAAATCCAGTGAAAAAGATGATTGTCAAAGGTGTGCCATAGTCCTTGAGAAACACACGCAAGGGGTGGCGGAAAAGACTGCTTCCGCCAAGTTCGCCGCACACGTATGCTACCATGAAGACAAGAAGAGCGGCAACGATGGAGAGATAGAACTCTTGTCCTCTACCGAGATGTTCTAGGACTTGGATGCCTTTTTGGAGGTAGATAAAGGCGACGTAAAACCCAAAGATGTCACAGGGGAAGCGTGTGACCCATCGAAGCCAATTGCAGGAGTTCGTTACGGCGAGAATCCAGTGAAGGATAAGTGACCATCTGGATGGGTCAGTTACCAAACTATAAAAGTGAAAAGAGCCCCGTGTTGTACGGTTAACGCTGACTTACATGCCGATCCAGCACATGAAGCCAATATAATTGACGCCGGTTGGCTTCATGATATCATATACGGTACTTCAAAAGCCCAGTCAGCTCCATGATGCAAAATTGTTTGTGAGTAGCAGTAATCTTACTAGTTGAAGACGGTTATTGGACCTAGAGAAGCATAGTTAGAGGGACAACTCGGTGTAGTAGGAAAGGGAGGCCAAAGTACCCGTAACTCCGACGATGACAAGCGGCTGTGCAGCAAACAGAGAGAATATGACCGCTCCAAGAACAGAGGAGAGTAAAACTTCGTTGACGCCATAGTTTGACCCTGTTTTCTGGAACATGTCGAGAGAAAATGCCAGAGCAGGGAGGATGCTTGATAAGAGGTCAGCGTCACATGTTGCTTAATATGTAACGAAGGCAAGACAAGATGGAGATACTGACTTGGCAAAATACATATACACTGTAGCAGGGACTACACGATAGTCCCACGCATCCATCCAGTCGCTAACATAGTATGGTATTCGTCGACGGATGTCACTAACCATACCACGAAAGAGGTGGATTCTCCACCAAGCCTCTTGTTTTTGTCGAGGCGAGGCCATTTTATCGTGGTCTCTTTCGTGTCCTGGTGAAGCTGAAACCATAATGATTCCTTCGAGAAATGATGACGAAAAAGTGTTGTAATGGTATTAGGCTTGACAAGAGATTGTTTGCTGTAGGCTGTCTCGAGCAGCGAGTGGCACACTTCAAAGATGACCTTTGAGTGAGGAAATTCCGTGATTAATAGACGAGTCAGAAGAACGAAGTAAAGCGGAAACCAACAAAGTTGATATACATATAAGAAAAGATCAGAATCAGCCGCCCAAGAATGTGACTGGTCAGGGTCTTGACTTGTCTTGACTTAGGCTACCAGTCTTCGGAGAAAGTGATTGATTGCTGACTCCACTCAGTAACTAAACATGACAGCATCCCTGTCTCTGTTACATCCAATGCTCACCACAATAAGTAACGGGGAAAGGGAAATAGACTGCATCGATGTATAACCTTATCGAAGCAGTCAAAGGGACTGCGGGTCGATAAAACCCACTAATCGGGTCTCGCAGAGGGTAACGCCATAAAAAGAGGCACTTCGGCCACGCTTCTTTGGTAATGTGATGTAAGAGTAACCTCTTATAACAGTGATGCGATCCTGACACTTTAGCAGCCAATAGAGTGCAAGCGACTCAATTGCATGCATGCTTAGGCCAAAAGCGATACTCGTTTATTACCGGCCAAACGGACAAGACAAAAACTTCGATTGTGGGGGATCGGGATGCTTATTAAGACAACACCCAGTGTCTCGGGCGATATGAGAAGCAAGGGCTGTCACGTCACGCATGTATACCCGAATACGTACAGAGATAAGGTAGGTAACCAACAAACAGTGCAATATTATGAGTATATCATCATCACGACGGCCTACTGCGTAGAAGACTACCTCAAAATACAATCGCCCCAGTCCTTATTCGTCCCACATGGATGCCAATATTGACGCTGACAGCCCACCTTGACCCTAGTTGTTGTCAACAAGTGCATGATGTCGTAAAAACTTGTACCTTTTTATTACCCTTTTCGACATACGCTGTTACACAACGGGAGCAGAGCCTCCTAAACCTCGGTCAGCAGAGGAACTTTCTCAGCCAATCAGCTTCGCAGATTCAGCTCGGGGTCGATGATAATCGCGAGATCTTGACTTATCTCTTTGACCGGCACAAGGCTATAATAAGTAACTTACCCTGCTTTTTTGCAGGTACCTGCAGGGTATATAAAGTTCCCGTTAGATAGCTTCTTCTTTTAATATTACTAAAATTATCAAAATCCTTATATAAATTAACCCTAATAAGTCTTAATTAAAATAATAAGCTCCTAAGAGATATATATATTAGATAATTATAGCTTTAATAGCCTGCCTTTTATAGCAGCTACTAATAATCTTACTAATATACCTAATATTCTGCCTAAAGAGGGCTATAGTAATAATTTTTAACCTTTTAACCTAGAATATTATAATTTTTAGATTAACCCTCTGCCTTAGTAATTACTTAAATTATTCTAGCTTTTTATACCTATTTCCCTTATATAGTTATAGGTTAAATATATTAATAACTAGGCTTTTTTTTATGCTAATAATGGTATTATTAATAGCTAGAATACCCCCCTTTCTGATTACTCCTGGTTATATACTTAGGAAGGTATTTCTATTATAATAGCTTATATATAGCTTAGTATCCTTATTTACCTAGGAATTTATAAGGAAATATCCCTTAAGGACTATTAGAAGGCCCTTAGCCTAGGAGATTAATACCCCCTTTATTTATTTATAAAGTTTATACTATTATAGAGGTTTAAGCTAATTATATAGTATTTTTATACTTTTAATTATACTAAGCTTAATATAAGCAATAAGAGGGATCTTTTAAAGACCTTTTAAGTAGCTAAAGAGTAATCTAATTATATATAAAGGGTATTTATTAAGCTTTATCTTCTAGGGACTAATCTAACTATAGATAAGTATATAATACTATTTATAGGCAGATTAAAAGAGATAATACTTATTAAGGGAAAGCCTATATTAGTAGGGTTTAAAGTCTAGGTTATTATATAATAAGGCTATTTTTTATAATAGCTTTAGTATATAAAGGTATTACTAGTTATAGCTATAATAATTAAGCTAGAGGTATTAATATTATATAATAAGAAGGGAAAGATATAAACTAAGATCCCTCTTAGTAATATATAAAGTATTATAGTTAACCTATTAAAAAGGCTAATAATATAAATATATTATATCTTTATAGATAACCTCTTCTTATTACTATAGCTATTCTGCCTACTTTAGTAGCTTAGATATAGAGCTATAGGCATAGTATACCCTAATTATAGTATTACTACTAAGATAAAGCAGATAAAAGAGACTAAGAAGCTTCCTAATAGTAAGTAGCTATTATTTAATAGGGTATATTTAATCCTAATAAAGGATAAATAGGTATAAATAACTTTACCTATATTTCCCTTATTAATTTATCTTTTTTTTTCCCTCTAGGTCCTTTAAATTACTTAGAAAGATAGCTCTATAGTACTCTTCCTTTTAACTATATATAATATAACCCCTTTTAATTATATACTAAAAGAGAGGAAGTTACCTATTAAAAGAAATATAAAAGTAAAGGTATAATACCTAAAGGAGGTCTTTAATAGAGATTAAGCTAAGATAATCCTTATTCTTTTTATTACTACTTAGTATAATAATAAAATAGATTATATAAATTATA